AGCTACCTCACCTGGACCAGCACATCCCCCTTGCACAAGAGTACTTCAGCAAGGTTTGCTTGGTAATGGTCATTTTGAGAAAACTACAATTGTGAAAACAATTACTGAATTTGTACTGTGGCACTAGCAAGTAGCCTAGGCACCAAGTACTGGTGACATGAAGGTGTTAACAGGAACCACAGGACCTTCTGTGTGGTTGAAGACCTAAGAGTGTGTCTCATAGATTTCCTGAGCACCCAGAGAGGCTGTGAATTGCACTCCAGATTTTGCTTGTTGTCTATCCAGGGCCCTCTGTCTCCCCAAGGAAGGAGTCGGTGTCCCAGGATGTTGGGGCCTCTAGACAGGCCAGATTTTCCCTGTGTGTGCATCTCTTGACCAGCTTTGACTGATAGACTCCTGCAAAGGGCCAGAGATCTTCTTTCACTAAAATGCTCTGAGGTTCTAGCCCATGCTGAGGCACTGGGTCTGCAGCTGGTATTGAAGAGGGGCCCTGAGAGGTGACGGGAAGGCAGGCTTTGGGTGCGTCTTTTCCACCCATGGGCATCCTGTCCTTCTAAGTCTGAATTTCTTTTCCAAGCCCAAAGGAAATAAAAATGAACCATTTTCATTCGGGAATAATTGTGTCAGTTGAGAGCAACTTTGCCCAAGCAATGATTTCGTCTCTGTTCTGTGTCTGGGGTCCTCAGTCAGGCCCTTGGAGGGTTGTACTCACCCTGGAGTCCCTCATGCTCAAGGAAGTGCTAGATATTCGATGAGTGCTCAAAAAATAGTTGTGAGATGCAGAGATAAATTGTGGGCTGGGAAACAGCTCAGTCAAGTGTAAGGCTGGGACCCTGGTTTTAACCCCAGAACTCATGTAAACCAGCTGGGTGTGGTGACATGCAATTGTCCCAATGCTGAGGAGTCAGAGAAGGCAGATTCCAGCTAGCCTAGCGAAATCTTCGGATTCCAGGTAAAAGTGAGAGACACTGTTCCAAAAGAAAAGCAATAGGAACAAAGCACCAAGATGTCTAGATGGCTCCTTGAATAATGACCTCTAGATTCCTCCTCAAATGTGCACACATGTGTTTCCCACCCCCGTGCACACATGAACAATACATATTTGCCAAGTAATTTGCATCATATACTGAAATCACAGATGCCACAAATAATTCGCTAATAAATTTGTTTCTCCATTGGAAGTCTTAGTCCTGAATAGATGAATGGATGCTGCTGTTTTCAAATGGAAATTTGCCAGGAGGGTGCAGAAGTTTTAGCCCAACTCACTCTCCCCTGTGGACAAATCCATCCAAGGCCATTGGGTACAGAGGGGACCAGCAACACTGTATTTATACATAAAAGGGCAACATCTATTTTATTGTCGATACCACTTCAACAAAATTAATTTCCCTTGGGGATTTTGTATTTTAATGTTTTAATATACTATCCATCACATAATAAATAATGGTTTTCTTGCTTCTCTCACTTTTTTCTTTATTTTTAGAATGCCAGTAATTGATCAAAGGTTTTCTTGTATGCTGGCCTTCTTTTTGTTCTTTGGCCTCATCACCACAATTTACCACATTCCCCCTAGCATCCTGATTTATCCTGTCTTCAATCTCTTTCTCTCTCTCTCTCTCTCTCTCTCTCTCTCTCTCTCTCTCCTGGTACCAAAGATGACAGTGGTATAGACAGAGCTGTGTCCAGCTCTAAAGGATCTGCCACTCGTGGTCTTGAGTTGTTACTGAGAAGATGGAGGGGTGGCTCTGGGTCTGGTTGAGACAGTGGGATAAGCAAGGCCTTTAGGAAGGGAAGAGAACCTAGCTGATCCGCTTCATGACTGGAACACAGGTGTTACCACAGCGTGACATAGTTCCCCGCCCATGTTTTCCTGCTCTGATCCTGCCCACAGAGCTATAGAAAGACCCGACTTGTATTCTATCCTTATGGAGCGGCAGAAAAGATTTACTGTACTGGTCTTCTGTTTCCCTTCTTTTGCAAACTAAAACTTGCTGAGGCAGGCATAGGGAGGCTCCTCTAAAACACTAGTGTGGTGGTCAATATTGTCACCTCACAGGATCTACAATCACATAGAAGACAAGTCTCTGGGCTGTCTGTGACAGATTAGCTAGATTAGGCTGAGGTGGGAGGGTCCTCCTTAACTGTGGGTGGTACCATGTCATGGACTAGTGTCCTGAATAAAGAAAAAGGAGAGAGTTTGCAACAGCATTTTTGGCTTTTTCCTGACTGCAGCTGCAAGGTTACCAACTGCCTCACACTCCTACTGCTGGGGGAAGGAGGGGCTCCCCACTCAGAGGAGAACCCTTCTGACAGATGTTTTATGGGGTCTGCCAACTATATAGTGGGTACAGTATAACACGAACACAAGTGCTTTGGGCTAGAGAGTCCATTCATTCTGTTTAGCAGACATAAATTACAGACCAGGAGCAGGCATTTCCTTTCTTGGTCATCACCTGATGAAGGGGAGAGTTTCTAATTTCTAAATGATATATTGAGCCAAATGAAATGGCTATTACATCATTTCTATTGCCCGTCACCACTCACAGTGGGATGGCATCATAAGAAAAAAAGAATGCTTCCTCTGGAATGGAGTAGAGGGTGTGTGTGTGTGTGTGTGTGTGTGTGTGTGTGTGTGTGTGTGTGTGTTTTGGGAGTGCATGTATATAAAGATTTCTGACAGAGAAAGATAAGGAGTTTCATTAAAATTAGTTGACTAAGCCTTAGCATCACACACAACGCCAGGCATCCTTCCCTGGACTCTTCCCCAGAGTGGCAAGGGAAGTTGGATGCTCTCAGGGCGAGAAGTTGAAAGGAGCTTAAAGGACTCTTTTCAGACTTAATATAGCTTCCTTAAAGAATAGGTGAGAGAGGAGAATATGTCACGTGGAATAACGGACATCTGAAGTTAGCCCCAGTGTGACAAAGGAGCCAGAAGCGGAATGGTTAATAGTTTTTTTAATTGGGGGAGGGGTCTCTCCTGATATCTCAAAGCATACTTCCCAAGCCATGGGAAATCATCTTTTTTTTCTGGAGCAAGTTATTGGTGGGCTAACGACCTTGAGTCAAAATTAGAATGTAGATCTTTGCCCCTTTCTGATGACAGAGTGCGTAGACGGTGGAGTGGAACTCTGATGGTGGACTGGCTTTAGTCACGGTAACCCTGAAGACGACATTGTCCCAATCCTCTGTTGCTCCCTGGGACTTGGAAAGCCAAGGATCACTTGGAGTCTTCTGTGACTTAAGAGAATCTGAGGGGAACGGCTGTACCAGGGAATCCTGTTCTCTTGAGTAAATGGATTTCTTCCCAAAGCACAGTGGAAGGAACCTTCACGTGTCTAGAAGCTCTCAGACAGGAGGACGCAAGTACATGACCAGTCTTGAGCAGCCTTCAGACCTAATGTAAGAGAGACAGACAGATGTACATGAGATTTGGGTATTTGAAAGTAAAAAAGACATTTCTGAACCGTCTTGGTTTTTCTCACTGTGAGAACTAAATTGACATAGAGAACCTCTGGTCTAGTAGAGTTGTGTGAAGCCTAACAGGGCACAGATACCTCAACTCCTGGCTCTCTCTCCAGCTATCATTTTGTTTAAGTTTATAGGTTGACAGATGTATGAAATTTGGAGAAACACAGTTCAACCTATAACAACTTCACAAGCTTTTGCCAGTGTTTGTGAGTAGAACAGTTTCAGGGATCCAAGGGATTGGAAACGCCTGGTCTTAGTAGTTCTTACCTAAGTATAGTTCTCTCTCTCTCTCTCTCTCTCTCTCTCTCTCTCTCTCTCTCTCTCTCTCTCTCTCTTTCCCTCCCCCCCCCACCCCCCACCCACAAAACATCAAAGATAGAAATGCTTTGCTATTTCATACTCTTCAGGAGGGCTTCTATCAAGTGACAGAAACAAATAGAAAATAAATGTTGGCAAGGTGTGATAAAATAGGAACTTTCTGCTGTAAAAGCAGCTTCTTGGCTGTGGAAAATACGGTTCTTTGAAAAATTGAACATAGCTATATAATCAAACAATTTTACTTCTGAATGCACACCCCAAGTAATTAAGATTGGAGTGCATCTATGGTCATAGCAGCCATTTCACAATGCCAAAAGATGGAAACAGCCCCAGGATGTACCCGCATGGGTGGATAAATTGTGGCATATCTGTAAAAGGGAATAGTATTCAGCAATAAGAAGGAAGGACATTTTGACATATGCTACAATGTGATTATATATTGAGGATATTATGTTCTTCACAATGAGCCAGCCAAACCATATGATTCTACCATCTAGAATAGTCATCTCAGACACAATAGCAGGAGGAATGGGGAGTTATTTAATAGATACAAAGTTTCAAATGAAAGAAAGAGATGAGATGGGAATGGTGATCGCTATACAGTATTTAAGGCTGCTGAATTGTGAACTTAAAGCAGCTATTAAGCTGCTAAATTTCATGCATATATAAACACATTCTTAAGAAAGATATCTTTGGAGTTCATCAATTTGAGTCTGTCCCTGGGTTTCATCCATGTGCCTTTCTCCTTCCCACATTTTTTTTTTTTTTTTTTTAATTTCCAAATGGGAACAAAGTGTCTCCTGCCTCCCATGGTGAATAGTGGGACTTGTTGAGGGTCTAATGCAGGGAACATGCATAGTACATTTGAATGCTGTGGTGGCAGGGACTTGATGTGAACTGGTAGCAGAATGAGTCTAAAGACAGCAATTAAAGCAAGGTCCCAAGGCAGCAGAACCTATGAGATAAGCAGAAACTTATGCCGGGAAATGCATGTGGCTTTGCTTTGAGCATGGCAAAGTTAAATGTGGGACATTCTTCACAGCCCAGGCATTCGAAGAATGGAGACAAATGCTTTTGCCCTGGCTAGTTATGAGGCTGTGCCACTGAGAGAAAGGGATCTCCCTCAATATGACCAGTCTGTAGAAACCACAGGGAGGTGGGAACCAGACACATGTCTCACCATTACACACAGGCAAGCCACTGTCCCTCATCCCCTTGCTGGAATGACTAAGCAGGAAGCCACAGCTATCTGGATTTCATGATAGGTCTGCTCTGCTCTTCTGTATCTGATGCTAAGAGGATACACACCCTTCTTAAGAATTCCTTTTCTAGAATTTCTTCTAGACTCCTTTCTGGAAAAGTTTCTCAGAGCTCCAGAGCAGAGCAGGAGTCTGGCCCCAAGGAGCCAGGATGCAGGCAGGAGCTGAGGGATGAAGAGAGAGGTAAAGTCTAAGAAGTGTTCTTTGTGGCTAATGTACTTCCTCAGCCTCAAGCCTGTCTGCCCAGAGGAAGCGATAGGTTTCGTGGTTTGGCATCTTGACTCCTTGCTTCTGTTTTGCTCCACTCCATTCATAATGCTGCTACCAACAAGTTAGTACCAGGGAGGACCTCCACGCCTGGAACCACTGCCTTCTGAAAAGGTGGTCAGTGCCCGTTGAAATTGCATCTGTTGAAGCCTGCCTGTCACGGAGAAGGCTCCCTGGAGGAGTTTCAGGTCAGTTAACTGACACTCCCTGCTATGCTTTACCTAGGGTTAGTTCCTCAGTGACTCATGTATTAGAAGTTTGGTCCCATGTAGCATCATTAAGAGGTATGGAGTGTAGTGGGAACCTCACGAACATTGTCCTCAGAAGAAACCAGGGAGTTTCTGTGGCACCCCATTAGGTCTTTTGAGATGGTTATTAAAGAAGCAGCTGGACTCGAATTGCTCTTTAGCTGTGTGTTTTGCCATGTGCTCTCTCCCTGTAACATATTCCCAACACTGTGAAGCCCTCTGCCATGAGATCCTCAGCAGAGGCCGGTACCAGGCCCTAGACCCTCCAGAACTGTGAGTTAGACTAACTTCCTTATGAGTACTTAGCTTTGGGTATTTTGTTATAGTGCTGGAAAACTAACAATAGCCTCCCCAGGGCCATTGGATTTGGTTGCCTTTTTTTCCTGCGTAAAGCTAATCTTACTACTAACAGTGGGCCACATGTTCTTACTGGGCTGTTAGTCTTGTGGAGAGATTTATCTACACTCAGCTGCATCTGCCTTTGGGCTGGATAGCAAGGAGCTATGGACAGGAGTCAATGGGAGTGCTCATAGGAGCCGAGCAGAATCTTTGGACATTATCCCCATTACTGAGTCTCAGACTGCTGAGCAGGGAGGAATACCCACTGCAGAGCCCTTGCTGTGGGCGGGGCTTATCTAATGTGCCGCGGCAGAACAATCTTCATGTATTTCTCATAGCAATCCCTCCAAGTAGCTCTGACTATTACCAATTTTACTGGTAAGTAAACTGAGGCACTAGATGCTAACCTTGTCACTAAAATCACCCCAGAGAGCATAAAGAATGTTACATTAGATAAACTAAGGGAATCCAGGAGTGAGCAGGTTTAGTTAGGTAAGAGAGGAGTAGATAGCACATGGAGCCTGGTGGTTTGTGATGCCAGCAATGGTGCCTTCTGGAAGTTCCTCAGCCAGCAGGCCTGTCTCTGCCACCTGTGGGGGAGCCACTGGAAGGAAGAGTCAGAAGCAGCCGAGGAGCCAGTGTTTGTGGAAGAGTGCACCTTCTAAGATTGCAAAGGCAGGGGGACATCCCCTGGTGACTGTGAAGGTGATAAGGGCCACACTGTGCACAGAGGGTCCATGCTGGGGACTGAGAGAGGTGGGAACAATTGACCGTGTCCTTCTCACCTCCTTCTCCCACCACCGAATTCACTTAGACCTGAGAAGAAAAGCATTCCAGACACTATTTTCTTTTTCTTAAAAAATTGAAAATGTATTGCTTTATGTGTATGGATGTTTTGCCTGCATTTATTTCTGTGTATCACATGGCATGTCTGGTACTCACAAAGGCAGGAAGAGGGGTATTGGAAGACACTGGAACTGGAGTTTCAGATGGCTGTGAACTGGCAGGTGGGTAGTGAGAAATGAACCTGGGTCCTGGCAAGAGCAGACAGTTAGTTCCCTTAACCAAAGAACCATCTTCCCAGCACCTCTCCACTCCATGCTCATTGCTTGTACAGTGCCTACAGTGTGTTAAGGATGTAGTAACAGAACCTATGCTCTGAGAGTCAGCCAAAGAGAACACCCTAGAACCATGTAGCCCTCAGCAAGTGGGTGAGCACCAAGTCGGCAGGGCAGGGCTTCAGCTGTGTTGATCTCTTTTCTGTCAAAGTCACCACCTCAAAGCCATTTGCTCAGAGGCAAGTGTGGACATAGTATGGGACCCTTGTCTTGTGATGACATTTAGGGATCCTTGCCCATGGGTGTAGAGCCATAGCCAGCATCATTAAGGGATGCGTGGAGCCACATAGGCGCCTGTGACAGAGGCTGGGGCAAATCTGTGCGCTAAGTGTCAGAAATGCTCCCAGCCCTGGCTGACAGGGGGAAGTGACAAACCATGGATGGTGGGGGGGGGGGAATCTGAACAAGGCACATTCCTATATGGCCTTTGAATTGCTCGTGGGATTTCCATTTTTAAAGACTTTGAAAAAATCAGAAGAGTAATATTTTGTGACAGGAAAATAGAACATGACTTGAAATTCATATCTTAGTGTCTAAATATAAAGTTCTGTTGGACATCAGCTCATTTGTCCCCACTGACTGGCTGGTTTAGGAGTATTGCAGAGTTGAGGGGAGAGTAGGCAAGACCTTAAATATGTGTTAACCGGCCCCTCTGGGGAGAGGCTCTCTGACCATGAGGAATTTAAATCCCAGCTGGAATGCCTACAGTTGGGGTGACATCTGGCAAGTTCTCCAGCTTTTGGAAGTGTGGGTTTCTTACCTGTAAGATAGAGTGACCAGAATGCCTTGATTCTGGGGGTGTTGGGATGGCTAAGAATGACAGACAGATGAAATGATCCAGGCAAAGCCCTGGGGTACTGTAAGTGCCCAGGAAAAGCTTGGAATGGCCACTCTGCTGGCTTCTGTGACCTGAGTCATGGTGTTGGGCCTTTGAGGGTTCTAATCTGAGCTTCCTGCCCCCATAATCCATCAGTATAAAAACAGTCATGCCACAAACTCCCACTGCCCTAGTTGCCACGCCTCCCCCTCTATCATGGTCCCCTGAACTTCGGTCCCTAATGAACCCCTCCCTTAAGTTGTTCCTGTCTGGTGATTTTATTACAGTGATAAGAAAAACAGCAACTACCAAAGCCTTGATGGAGGGAGCAGGTTCTCTTGGCAGTTGGGGCTTCAGCCACAGGAGAACACAGCACTCTTCCCCTCTGGAGGAGGCAGCAAAAAGGCACCATCCTGGAGGCAGAGATCAGCTCTCTCCAGACAGCAAAGCCTGCTAGTTCCTTGGTCTTTCACTTCTCACCCTCCAGTAGGGGGAGAAAGGTATCCCTGGTCTTTGTACACCAGGTCTTGGTTTCTGCTTCTGGCTTGCCATTCCCAGCATCAGAGGAGGTGTCTGCTCTCCCCACCACAGGCTATCAGGAGGGTCCTCTGGCTGGCCAGGGGTGACTACCTATACTTGGAGACAGAACTCTGCCCTGGTTGTCACCTGACTCTGCCTGAGGGGGGCGAAGTGGTCAATAACCTTTAAGTCACCCAAAGCCCCCAGAGGCTACACTGTTACTCAGAAAATGAACACAGAAATGGTTGTGCTGCCAGAACTTGCCCAGTTGGCTTCAACCACCTTCTTGGGAAACAGTTCCTCTTGGAGAGCCAAGTGGTAGCTTACTAGCGTGTTTCATAGACACAGAACCAGAGTTAGAGGTATATATACCTCTAATATAACTCCTGGAATCTACATCCAGCAGAGGTTACTGCCCTGGCTCCTCCGAGTTCCTCTGATTTGTCTTGGTGTTGATTTTAACATGACTTTCACTACCATTTTCCTTTCTGTTGTGGTCATCAGTCGCATAGGCTATAGTACATTCTATGGAGCCTATCTCTGGAGTCTGCCTGGCTCTACCTGCCTTGGCTTATGACTGGCCAGCTGTGTGGGCTTAGAACTGTTCCTTAACTTCCCAGAGCATCAGATCCCTTATATGTAAAGTTGGCTATCCAGAGTTCCGACTTGGCTGGATGTGGTAGTGCACACTTGTAATCATCGCACTTGGGAGTCAGAGGCGAGAGGATTCCCCCCTAAGTTCAGAACCAGCCTGGTTCCCACAAACTCTAGGCCAGCCAGAGCCACACAGGTCCCTGTCTCGGAATAAGCAAGCCTACATGCGCTCAAGAAATGGCTGTGCTTTCATGTCCTGGCTTCAAACTCAAAAAGAGCCTTTATTGGTCTGTTTTCCCATCATTTTCAGGTTCAGGCAATGTGCACTTGAGGTTTGGCTTTCCTGTTTATTGGCACTTCTGATATAAAGGGCTCCTCTTAGTACCTAAATTTAAAGGCTTCCCACAGGCACTGTAAGGGACAGAACGAGTACAATGTAGTGTTTGGGTCACCTCAGGACTTCATCTCTAACTTTGCTTACATATGCTAATGAGTGCTAGAAATAAATTTTCACTAAAAGTAGGAGGTGGCAAGCAGGAGACAGGGCCAAGGAGATAACGGGTGTCAAGCAGATGTGAGTGGGAGAGGAGATGGAGACCTTTCCCAAACACCCAGGGCAGTGGGAGGGAGAAGCCACGTCCTCCATCTGTCTCCACAGAGGGCCACATGTCCCTGCTCCCTGCCAAGTACCAGCCCAGGCAGATACAAATTGAGTTTTTGGTGGGGCTTGAGTAGTGAGTGAGCTTGCTCCTTTTAATACTAAAAACTATGGGGAAGAGATTGGATTGCCACTGTTCAGGTTCTGAGACTCTCAGACTGGCCAAAGTCTTTGTCTCTGTGTCTCCTTCTCTTTGCATACCCCAGTGTCTTTATCAGGGAGCCAGAGAGAGTGTGTGTGAACACTGAACAAGAACAGGAAGAGCCTGGCCCAGTGGCATGGTGGTAACCCCAGTGTATTAGTTACTTTTCTTGTAGCAACAAAATACCTGACCAAAGCAACTGAAGGAAGGGTTCATTTGGGCTCCAAGTTCAAGGGTACAGTCCATCATGACAGGAAAGTGGTGGTGGCAGGAGCTGGAAGAGATAGTCACATTGCATCATAGTCAGGAAACAGAGAACAATAGATGCCTGTGCTCAGCTAGCCTTGTCCTTTCTATGCAGTCCGAGACCCCAGCCCAGGGAATGCTACCTCCCATAGTGGATCTTTCCACCCCAATTAATCTAATGTAGAAACTCCCCCACAGAGGTTTGTTTTCATAGTGATTCTAGATCTTGCTCCTTGACAGTCACAACAAACTATGACGCCCTTGAGAGGCTGAGGCAGGAGTATTGTAAATCTAAGACCTGCTTGGGCTATCGGAAAGAATAGAAAGAGGGCCTAGCATTGCCACTTCCTGGTACTCTGCTGCTCAGCATCTTGGTTTTTCCCAGAGCACAGCTTCCTGAACCATTTCTTGTCTTCTTGCACTGCTCTTTCTCTTTCCCCTGGGGATTAATGGACAAGATTCTTGAAATGAATGTCCCAGGGAAGGTTTTGACAGACATCGAGCTCTATTCAGTTCCTGAATATTTGGAGAAGTTTCTTCACCAAGTTCAGAGACATTGAAAGGCCTCCCTTCCACTCCACTCTGGTCAGGTCCAGACAGCCTGTGCCTTGCTGGGTATTTGAGGGGGCGGTAAATGCAGATAGTTCTAGTTCTCTCCCTCACTCTCATTCCCCAATTCTTCATGCCACTTGAAGCCAGACTTCAGGCTGAAGCCTCTGCTGGGCCTCAGAGTTGGGCAGCTCTAGCCTGCAGCTGAGCTCCTGGGGATGAAGTCTGGCCAGGGAGAGCTGAATCCATTTCTGTGGAGAATAAGGTTCCTTCTAGCATGGAGGAGCTCCAAGCCACAAACAATGAGGTGTGACAGACACATCCCACTGATCTGATTGCCACCGGAAGCACCATGAGTACAGATGCCCTGAGAACTACAAATGAAAGTGCATTTCAGAGAAGGGCCCGAAGTGAGGGAGGGGATGCTGGAAGGGTCGAGCTGATTATTATTCTCAGAATTCAGGAACCTGGCACTGCTGGCTGCAGCCAGAACCAACCTGGTCTACTGCCACCAGCAGCATTGTATTTGGTTGCAGACAAACCCAGTCCTCTTTAGAGTAGCAAGCAAGCCTCAAACACAGCGCTTTGTCATCGTCTTAAATTCTCATCTATTTTGTGTCCATAATTATTTACTTTCCTATACATTCGTAATCACTGGGTACAGAGCACTTTACATTATCCCCCCCCCCCCACACACACGCTTAGCATGACTGTGAATTCGCATTTCTTGTGTACTGACATTGTTTTTGAGTCTTGTCTTCAGGTATCTGTATGCTGCTCATTAAATGTATCCCTTTTTAATTGGTTTCGCCAAGTGATTCCCTCATTACTGGCCATTTGGGCTGTCTCCAGTTTTTCACCGTTATAAACAGTGAAATGGCCAGGGCATCTTAAGATGGAGCAATGACAACAAAGAGCGGAAATGCTGCTGCCTTGATTCTCACTGGCAACCAAATTTAGAGAGCCTCCACACTGTTCCTCCCCGAAGCCGGAGGAAACAGCTGCCTTGAAGGATGGCTGGATGATTTATAGGGAACAAGATGTGTTCAGTGGGTTTGTCAGTATCCCACTGCATTAAGGATACGCTTGTTAATTATCTGTGGTTAATATGATAATTTAGGAAAAACAACACCTATTAGGAGTTCTTCATTAGGCAAAAGGCTTTTCATTTCTGAGCAAACAAAGGCTCCAAAATTAATGATATTCACCTCTGATCTGTGACTGGGCAGGGAGAACAAAGAGTGGATTCCTCTTATTTTAACTTTCTTACAGCACCCTGGTTGTTGTGGGTAACAAATGCTTCCCTTCTGGAAAATTCTCCTAGGCCCAGCTTCTGTGTCGATAGTTGCCTCTTTGCAGAGCCACTCAATTAAGCATGGTGGGACCAATCAGATTTGCAGGTGTCTCTATAAACCTTTGCTCCATCATCTGAATTGAGAAACTTCTGTCTGCTAACCTTAGGACTTGATGGGGCAAGTGGTAGTGTTCTTATTTTCCAGGCTAAGAAATAAGGGTTCAACAATGGTGGCAGGCTTGTTGGGCTTCCGTGGCCAGGTAGAGAGGATGGTCATAGAGACCCAGGTCTTTTAACCTCTTCTCTGGCCTCCATCCTATTGCCCATTGCCTAGGGTAGAGCTGCCAGACAAGGTTCAAGATTAGGAGATTCATATTCATGTGGAAACATTTAACGTGTATCAGTCCTTCTGAGGGAGGATGTGTGGGCAAAGGGAGAGGGAGTCACTGGATGTCATGCCGAAGCCAATATCTGGAAGACCTGAGGAGGAACAGTCCATCGGCATCCAACCTCACCGCCATATTTCAATAAGTATCGAATGTAACTCATGGGCTGCATTCAATCACTGCTCCCGGTGTCACCGAGTCATCCTCCAATGCCCCCTTTCATATTTCATTTTGGCTTGGACAGTGCAAACGCCATGGAAGCCATAAAGAATAATTTTTATGTAGAGGTCATCTGCTGAGCCAGCATCTGCTGCACAGACGCCCAATCTCCTGTTTGGTGGGAGGCAAGAGTCATAGGCTAAGTGGGGGATGGAGAAGGGTCTCAGAGGAGTGAGGATCCCATTTAAAGCCACATAGGATTAAGTTGCACAGTGAAATATTTAAGTTTAGATGCCGTTTCTGTATTTCATCGCCCCCTGGTCCTCCCTTTTACTCTCCCAATGACTTGGCCCTCTGAGTGCATGGGGACAGAAAGAGCTGAGGGTGTCAAAGGCACAGCCACACCCACACCCACTAGCACTTGAACTCTCCTGTGTGGGACGTCATGTCGATGGTGGCTGCAGCCTCTGAGGACCAACAGAACAGTCCTCCATAAATCAACCTCCATCCATTTCAGAGTGCGAAGCTGTCTGAGGAGGTCTTGGTGATGTTAGGAGATGGATTGTTCCTTGTATCAAGTCCCTACTGCTGCAGAGCTCAATAGATGGTCACAGACAGCCACATAACTTTGTTCAGAGCTCCCTGTGCAATGGGGGTGACTGTTGTATGCTTGGGCTGTGTCCTTGCTGACTAGAAAGATCAAATTAGACGAACAGGGAAGCATTTCAATTTATTTGTTTATTTGTTTTGTTTTTGAAACAGGGTTTCACTATACAGCCCAAGATGGCCTTAAACTGGTGATACTCTTGTCTCTGCCTCCCAAAAGCTAAGCGTTGGGATTACAGGCACACAGTGTCTCGCCTGGCCATACAGTTCAGCTTGAACCTTGTGGTTTCCTCTTCCTTCCTGACAGCTTACTTTCTGCTTTCATGTAATTTTCTCTGCAGGGCTTTTCCAAGTGTGGTCCAGGGACTGCCCTGCGTCACAGAAGACAAGCAATGCTATGCATGTAGACTTCTAGGCCCTACCAGAGACCTGTGGAAATGGGAACTGGGGGCATCTGAGAGCTCAGGAGTCTGCCCTTTGAACCCCATTCGTGAGTAATTCTTGTGCCACAGCCCTTGGAGTTCTTTCAGGGCATTTGCTGAGAGTATTCACTCTCTTTCTTTGCGGTCTTGAAAAGGTGTGTATGGAGCGAGGGAGGGTGGTGTAGAAAATGAGGTAAATGAAAACTTTTGGTTGAAGCTTGGTGCCTCCTCAAGAGGCTTTTAGCTCATTGTCTTGGGCCTCCCTAATATAGTGAGAAGTGCACCAGGGCCCTTTGCCTGAGGCTGTTGACCACAGCAGCCCACCTCTAGTTTGTCTGTTAGCTCTTGGGCTATCATTCTAGTTAACAAGTATGTTTCTTTCTGGTGTGGCTGTGTGGCTTGAGGAGCCCTTTCCTGGGTTTAGAGGCTCCTCCCGAAAATACAGGGTGGAAGAATGCTTTTCCTTTTAAACTGGGGGAGCTCTAGTGAACACCTTGTTGGAATTGGATTTTACAAGAAGGACATTTATTTTCTGTCATCAGCAGGAAGAGTGGGGAGGTCAGGCAGGCTAGGGGTGCTCGCACGGTGGTTCCCTGGACTGCCTTGTATGGCAGTCTGGGTTCAGGCCTGTGTCTGGTGTGAGCACTTCTATGTGGAAAGAACACTGTGTGGACACTGGGCTCTTGCCTGACACTCAAGCTGATAAGACCCATCAAACAGGCACACAGGTGACTCTGAACTAGGTTCAGTGGGCAGTGAAGAAGGGGCTTACTGTCCCATCCAGACTAGTGACAAAAAGAATTTGGTCATCCACCAGATGAGTTAACCTCTTAGTCTCTAGGACCCCTTTCTTCTAGAAAGTTGGGGGCCCCCCAGTCCTTCTGCTGTACCCCAGACACACTCAGGAAGCTGTCCTGCACCCCTAACTTACCAGCCACACTGTTTCTCCCCCACCTCCAATGACAGTCAGTGAGCAGCCTATTTCAAAGCTGCCCTATGCAGTGCAGCCAACGGAGGGTTGATTTCACACTTGGCTTATCTCATCTCTCTCCATGGTCTTGCACCCCATCCGTCTTTCATTCATGGCCCTTTTTTGTTCACCCTTGACTGATTTGGCTCTTACCTAATTCTGACATCTATTTTTCCTCTCCCCACCCCCGATTTACCATTGAATTGTGTCAGTGTCACTGTCGGCTTCTATATTTCTTTTACAATTCAGCCTTTTCTTCCTCTGTTATAGCCTTTCAGGCTTGTGAATGGCAGTGATTGCGAGGGCCATGCCGTGCCCCTCCCGGATACTCAGAGGCGAGGGTCCACATCTAAGAGGCAGTGTGACCTGAACCAGGGACTTGATTTCCTCACCCGTTTGTTTTTCTTTTTCATTTTGTCTATAAAATTGGATAGTCTTAGCTGATCACATCTGTACTCCTTTTTAGCAGTTTTTTCCCCCCTTCAGATCTCATGTAACCCTGGCTTGTCTTGAACTCATTAGGTAGCTAATGATGACCTTTAATTTATGATCCTTCTGCCTCTACCTTCTAAGAGCTGGGATTATAGGTATGCACCAGGATGTCGTTCCTTTAAGTGGTGCTGGGGATCAAACTCAGGACTCCAATGCATACTACATACTACATTGCAGCATTCTATCGACTGAGCTACACTCCCGATTTTCTTGCAGCTTCAATTTTAGTCAGTTCTGTGGTTTATAAGACTGGGCTATTGACAGTTTATTTTAACACATGTAAGAGCAGTGCTATTAATCTGCTTTGTTGGACCATAACAGAATTCCCTAGGTAATGAACTCATAGAGATCACAGTGTAAGACTGAGCAGGCCCTTTGCTTTGGGCCTCTGGTGTGTGTTAGACAGTAATGACAGAGCACACGACAGAGCGAACTGTTCAGTGCATAACTAGAAAGTGAGCAAGAGAAGGAACAAGGTGCTTAGTCCCCACCATCTCCTTCAAGGACACCCCCTCCCAATGATCTAAGGATGCCCCACTAGGCCCTACTTAACACATGGACCTTTGACAGTATTCAACATACAAAGCATAGAAACAGTCAACTCATAAGTCTCTGCAGAGAAAACACGTTAATTTTGCATCTCATTATGATATGCCCATGGGTGTCAGTGCATACCAGATCAATGCATGCTTTGGAGATAAAATACTGGCCTAAATTCAAGGTGAAGCTAAGATTAACAATGACCAAAACACCAAAGATGAATATTTCTTGATTATTCACTTTGTTGTCCAAGTGTAACCACCGCTCCCCCTTTGCTTTACAATGTCTTTTAATCCTTCTCCCAAGTTCCTTCAGTATGGAGTAGGGACTAGAACCCATACCCACTTGGATAGGAATGAGGTATGCTTGGCTCTGTGCTCTTGGCAGGATGGACTTGTTCTTGGAACCTTGTTGATCACTTGGTACTTTGAGCAAATTGGACAAAGACACTCTTCTGAGTTGAATGTACCTTTTATTTACAGCTTAACATGTCTATTTGGTGGTGCTGGGAAAAAAAAAAAGGGTGCTGTTTAGATGCAGGGCCGCCTACCCCTTTGTCACTGCCTGAGATAGCTGAGTTCTCAATCTGCCCAGGGGCCTTACTCATGAGACCACCCAATGGCTTTGTGAACCACAGGTCACTTTACTGTGGACACTCCCTGTTTGAGCCTGCACTGGCCTTTGCTTCCCTGGATTGCAGTCACATTTATACACTGTTCTAGAAATGCATGGAGCGTAAAAACAAAAATGAATCTATGCAATATACTCGAATTCCGCCAGCTCTCTCAACTGGAAGCTGTACACGGGAATGCCTATGTTGATCTGTTCGATTCTAACCACCAAACCTTGCTTCTTCAGTTAGCCCTGACTCTCTTTCTTTTAGGACAGATTTTCCCCTTAAAACTTCACATTCTCTGAGTGGTTATCCCAGGGCAGAATTTCTAACTGTGTACGAACACACGCCTTTGGAAGAAAGAGTATCTAGACAGATTTGGCCTTAAGTGGAACACCCAAGAGCCTATCACTGTTAGCAGCCAGCTGTCTTCCGTCTTCCCATGGGCCCCTCCTTCACCTCCGTAGCTCCAGAGTGGGTCTTGAGAGCCTTCACGGGGGGAGGGGCATAATCTTAGTGTCAGAGAAAGTGGATAATGTGCTAACTGTGACCTCTTGGGTATCTGGCTGACGGCTTTCAGTACTGAACAGGTTTTCCGATGGATAACAAAGGAGATGAACAACTAAGAGGTGGTTTCCCAGAAGGAGTCTTGACAGCTCCTGGCAGTCACTAGCACTTTCCTTCATTGCTCTTTTCTCCCCCACAAACCACTTGCAAGTGTCTTTGGCAGGAGAATGGGAGGGGATGATGACCTCTGTGGAGGCAGAAAGCAAAGGGGGCCAGGGAGGTATCTGAGAGTCATGACCACAACCTTCCCTTCTTTCTCACCCTTACTCTAGGGACTTGAGACAGCCGGGTCCCATGTAAATGCATCTTCTTCAAGTAGCCTACAGATGTGACCATCTCTACCCTAGGTAATTAATTAACGTCTGAGAGAAGACGGTTAAGTTCGAATACCAGGAGGTGGATGTGGGTCGTTAGAATAGTCATTGCTTGAAAAGTGCCATAGTGGGTTTACACCATGAGAATTGGCAAACACTATGAATTAGATGTGTGTGTGTGTGTGTGTGTGTGTGTGTGTGTGTGTGAGAGAGAGAGACAGATGTATTTGCCCATGGATGCATACATGGAAGCTAAAGGTCAACTTCGGGTAACTGCCTCAAAACTACTGTTCTTAAAACTACCTGAGATGTCTCTAGCTTATTTTTGAGGTGAGGTGTCTCAGTGAACCTGGAGCTCACCTTTAGATGAGACCGGGTGGCCTGACTGGTAGTGCAGAAAGATCCATTCTGCCTGTCCCCACCCCAGTTCTGGAGTTACATGCCAGCTCTTTATGTGGTGAGGATCTGAACTCAGGTCCTCATGCTCGCACAGCAAGCATTTACCACTGAGCAGTCTTCCATACACAGGATCTTTTTATTTTGAGAACTCATTTGCTACGAACACCCCTCATTTCTAGGCTGTCTGACTAAATCGATGAAATCAGAATCTGTGTGTATGAAGTATTACGGTTTTTAGGATTTCTCAGGTAGTTTTAATTTGTAGCCAAACTTGGACTTGGGGCCACTGTGTAAGCTCCTCATTGCACACAGCAGGAGGTGGGATCAAAGGTGTAAAATGCCCCCACCCCCAAATTTGGCAGCTCCCAGAGTATTTCCAGCACTTAGGAAAAGCACACTCTCTTCCCTCCAACTTTGGCAGCCTTAACTCTGGCAGTTGACCTCTTTGGCTCTCCTTTCTGGCTCACATTCCTCTATCTGACCCTGCTTGTTTAGCTCTCAAGCAGTGCTTCCTAGGAGCTGAGACCTCACATGTGGTCCTTGTCCTCAAAGTGAGGCCTCTGTGTGAAATGAGAGCCCTCCCCCTCCCAGTCATGCAGAGGGCAACGTATCATTTACATTGGTTCAAGATTCCTCAAAGTTGGGGTTTGGGCTTTCACTGCCCAAAACACCATGGTCCTTCTGCCCCAGGGGAAGCCCCTCATCTCTGCACCAAAGGGTGGCCAGAGAAGGCCAGGGGCCCTCCTCCTGTGAGGAGATGAGTAATGAAAATACTTTACAAAGTGCTTTCACAAGCATGATCTCATTTGGCTTGATGACCCAGGGGCTCCTGAATGGAAAAAGGAGTGGGGGGCTTGGGAATTCAAATTGCATCTCCATTGTCTTGGGAAACCCTTTCCGGCAAATAGGAGTCTTCAAATCCCCACCTTCCCATCCCTCCTTCTCAGGCCAGGAGCATTTAGAACTAATTGAATCACTAGCTCAGCTAATGCAGCCTCCATTAAGACCAGAAGGCCCCCAGGGAGAAGCCATTGAAGATAAGTAGGAAGAGCCACACCCAGCCCCAGCATCCTCCCAGCCCCCCACTGCCTTAGCCTCAGTGCCCCATGGACCTGCCTGCCTGACCCTGCCTGATATGTGGTGGGAGGAGCTGGGGACAGGGATAATTTACCTGCTCCATTTGTCCCAGCTCCTTATCCCAAGGAAAAATATGCAATCTTGGTAGAATTGATAGGTGTACATACATAATAGGTGGTTTGTGCCTCTTGTCTTGATTTTCTTTTGGAATAAACTCTTCCTCCTTTGGGGAAATTAAATGACAAAGTAAATCGCTGACTGCCCAAAGGTCTTGGGGGTGGGTAGCTGGAAAGGTAGCAACAGAAACTCAGATGTTCTGACTTTTGTTCACCCAGACAACAGCAACTTTTCTGTCTGAGGTAGGATGTGGGTTGGATTTGCTAGCAGTTTGGACAGTGAGAGGGGAGGGGAGGGAAGGAATCCCGGTAAGACAGACCAACAAGGTTCTGGAAGCCATGGGGTCGATGGCCATGGTTAATGTGGGAATGCTCAATCTGTGTGTATAGGATAAAAGAACAGGGACCTGGTTAACTTGGGATGAATGTGCTTTTTCTCCCTCCTGAAGTCAGATGGACAGTGAATGTCTCCAGGAGTATGTGCTGTAGTTCGGTGATGGCTGAACTCTTGGCCAGTCCTTCCAGAGCTGTCATTCAAACCTGAAGCCTTTTCATCCCCCAGTCTCTATGACTACACTAGCCTGTACACACCAAATGTGGCAGGGCCCCTAGCTCTCTTCTCCCATCACCCATGCATGTGTCTGGCTTGTACGTCATCCTCTCTCTCCCTTTGGCCTGTTCGGTCTGCTCTCTGCCCTTCATCTCCACTGTCTGGATTTCCTGGGGGATGGTAGAGTGGGCAGCCATCAGCTGAGCTGGTCTAGCCCTGCTGAGAACCCTGCTGACTAACAGGGCATTTGGCATTTTGGTCAGTGATGAGTCCCTCTGAGAGGTTTGATGGCTCCTTATTAAAAAGAAAACAACACATTTGCATCTTACATCACAATATCTCCTCATGAGAAAGACCAGAGAAGACAGAAACAGCACCCAAAATAAAAATATTATCTACCACCATCCAGGAACTGCTACTGCTAATGTTTTGGTGACTTTCTTGCCAACTTTAAACTAACGTGCGCGCGCGCACGCACACACACACACACACACCACACACACACACACCACACACACCACACA